TATGTTTTCTAGCTGTTTCATTTATCACCACTAAACTACAGAATTCCTCAGTGTCTTCCATCACTGTGTCTGTAGTACGGAGATAAATTTGTATAATAATCATAGTGGCTATCCACTAATTTTACTAGATATGATCTTGTTTATGGAATTAAAAAATCTGAAACATTTAAAGAGTAACTGACATCAAATCAATTAAATCAATTGTAAGTTATGCTCTTTTTTATTTTTGCAGTGCAAGCAAGAACATAAACATTTACTTTTAAAAACAGCCTGCTAACATTACATGCTTGAAACAGAAAACTTATTCAACATCAAGATATATCTGTATAGCCATCAAAATATCAGTAAGTAGAATGAACTACAATCTTTTAAAAATACCTTTCCTACAATTTCCCCCAAATTTGCTCATCTCTCTCTCTCTTTCTCTCTGTGCATGTGTTACTTTCTTGCCCTTATCTATATGTGGGAACTCACTTTCCCACACAGAATTGATTGCTAGATAGCTGATAGCATACAATGCATTACATTTGTGTTGGGAATGTGCATAAATGTGCAAAAAAGGAACACAATTAGGATTATTCACTCTAAGTTTGTTTTATCTGAAAATACTGTCGCATATTTTGTTTAAACCACTCTTATATTGCATATGTCTCTGTCCAAAAAAGGTGGCATTCACCAGATATAATAAGTTTGTCTTATTGCATCAGGTGCCTTTTAATGTGCCTTAAAATTGCCTTTTAATGTGCACTGACTTTCATACAGCATCCAGACCTAAAGCTTCTTCCCCATGATTGCTGAAAATTTATGGCAGAGTTTCCCACTGTTATTAAAAATATGTTAATATTAATATTGAACGAGGTAAGGTTATTTTTATGCCATTTTAATTGTGATTTTGTTGTTGGAAGTCACCCTGAGTCCCCTGAGGTGGTAGGGCAGGGTATAAATCTAAACTGTATAATAATATATAATTTATTATAATATATAACGTAAGACATGGGTTGAACTATAACATAATATGGGTCAATCCATAATGAGCGCAGTACTGTGTAAAAACCTGAAACTGTCCCAAAACCCAGGACCAAATATACAACCCTAATTCTGTTAGAATTGCATGCAAGCACAAAGTACTCCATTTAGCAATGATTGTCAGTTATTTTTAAAATCTCTTTGGAATAGTGTTGCCTTGTGATGAAGTGCTGTGGCTTCCAGCGAATTTGTTCACAAAAACAAAACAAACAAACAAACAAATGCCTTGACTTTCTTTGTTTAGTACTGTTGGGAACCCTAGTACGTATCACAGAGTGATCAGAGATACCAAACATTCATAGACAGGAACGCCTTGAACTATTTCGGGTTTGGAGGCTTTACTTCCAAAAGCTGCCAAACCACCCTCAGAATACTACAGCCTGCACTGTTCTGCACAGGGGAATGGAATGATCAGGTATTCTTCACAACTCTGTTCCCTAGTCAATGAGTTTTATACATCTGTAACTGTAACATACCTGGAAGAGATTTTAAAAGCAGCTGGAATCATTTGCTGAACAGAGTGGCAAGCCTCTCTTTAAAGGAAAAAACAACAACAACAGAGACCACTTGGCCTCTTCATACGTTTTTAAATGTCCCCCGGACTTTGATGTTTTTGGTCAATTCCCTTGCCTTATTTTTCCATTATTTCCTTGCTTAGTAAAACCTTCTGTTTCCTCATCTCTCAGAGGGCTTTTGCCCCTCATCCCCTGAAAAGTCTAAGAGTTGGGTATTCAGATCATATCTACTTTTAATTCATAGCTGTGACTGCACAGAGTCACATTCTTGTCCTTTATGTCACTTTTCGCATCTGTACTGTAGTAAACAGTATTAACGGCAATCTCTGTAATAGGCCTAATACTGTTTTAAATGTAGTACACAAGGTAATTAGTTGCCTGGAGGTTAACTACTGAAAGAAAATTGTTAATCAGATGGGAACCTTCTTTTTGTACTTTTAAGATACTTTCCCTATAGCAACAGAACACACTGGAATTTATTCAAACAGGCCTTGGGCTATATTGTAGGAGCTGTATTTAGATGTTCATTCAAGTTACCCTTTCCAACATGATGCAAGCCAAATGCAAGCCAACATGATGCAAACTACAACTCCTATTTTGGCTGATACAAATATTTAAATTAGGGATGGGCAATATTTTTTGGACTGAAGGCTGATTCAGCCTCATTGTAGAATGCTGACAGCTGCTCTCCAATAGTGAGCAAAGTGAAACCTAAATTAATATTTAATAAATTAAATGCATGAAAAAATACATTGAACATTCTGTTTCTAAATGTGATCAGCCACATGCTTCCAAAAAGTCTAGAAAAAGATCATGAAAATCTTAGGTGCATCCAAAATATATTTTTGCTATCTTTGCATTCTTTAAAAAAAATGAATATAAATTTTGCTAGTGCTAAAACATACACACAACACATATTTTAACCCTATTTCAAAAGAAAAAGGGGCCATTTATGTTTACTTAGATGTCATGATTTCTGACTGACTAATCTCTGAAGTGAAAGAAGTCCTGAATTTCTATACCATCAAAGATCATGCACGAATTCCATTCTCCTCTAACATTACTACACATAGTAAATGTTCTGTCCAGTCATATTTTATGTTATGTTTGTAATACACTAAAGCTATTCTAGCACCATGGGAATCCATCCCTGTTTAAAGCTAGCATCCTACCCAAAAATAAGAGAAAAATTACTTTCCAAACTTTGTAGTCACCGTGCCCCCCAGCCATATCCTCATATAGGAGAGAATAATCAAGCCCATAAGAATTAGTGAGAGCACAACAGTTTTTAGAAACACTGTACATGCAAAGTGTTAAGTGGAGGTGCAGGTGGAGAAGGAACCCAAAACAGCTCAATGACTATTCTCAGTGGGCATGTGCTAAATATTACAAAGGAGTAGAAAACTGATGGAAGATGAATAAAATGGATTTGGGGTAGGCAACTTCAGGTGTTGATGAATAACAACTCCCAGCTGCCCAGACAGCATGGCCATTGGTGAAAAATGCTGGGCCTAGAAGTTCAGCAATATTTACAGTGCTACAGATTGCCTACCCTGGAATGGAATTACAGGTAGGTGGCGATTAGTGTGACTTCGAATAATGCAATATCCGATTTAGTGTGAATTGTAAACTGATACCAGGTCATGTTTAATGTAACTCAAAATTCAGTTAATGTGAGGCTAGAGCGTGTGCAGTTGCATTTTAGATGCTGCTAATCTCTGTGTGTACAAAATGGAGAAAAGGAAGATTCTGTCAGAGGAACACAATGCAAGTTTAAAAAAGAAGAGGGTTGTTATTACATTAGAGCAAAAATTTGATGTAATTGAACAACATGAATGTGGTCAAGGCAAAGCTAAAATAGGATGAGATGTTGGAATGCCTAAATCTACCGTAGAATTTTTTGGTTTTATTTTGCTTTCTGTAACTACTCTGTGACTTTGTTTAATTTAATTTAGAAATTTAAATTAGAAGTATATACTTTTTATCTTTTACTGTAACATTTCATTAATATACATATAAAAATGTATGTTTAAAAAATTTCATTGCCTATTTCCATTTGAGCTGGAAACAATTGCCATATTTTCCATAGAAATATCACTTCAAATAGTGCAGATTCCAAGAATGCAACCATTTCATGGGATTCATTAACCCCACTAATCGAGACTGACCTGTATCTTAAAAGAAGACAGGACAGATTACTTTGAACTCAAAGCAGGGGGAACTCCCCTTGAAATGACATTTCTTTCTAGCTGTTATACCTGATAAAATTAATAGTCATACTGTGGGGAAAGGGTATAAAGTACTCATCTCCTCAGAGACATTTCAGAATTTACTTCTGGATATTTAGTGTCATTGTTAAGGTAAAAGCAAAACATAAAGATAGAATATTGCTCATAAAAAATATTTTTAAAAATATTCAAATAATATTTTGATTGCTGTACTTCCCCTTGCCTATTTACACAGGAGTAAACCTGAAGTCAGAAAGACTTACTTTGGAATAAACATATATTGGATTGCACTGCTAGCAAAACTACCTACTGTATTTATGTGACAATTACGATGATTCCCTGACCATTTGTCTTACAAACTCATTTTCACCAAAGCATTTCTGCCTACAACTTAAAACTGACTGAAATAGCAGGGAAAACATATACACTGTTAGTCAATTCCAGTTACTAACCATGAAAGATTAATCTGTTTATGTTAATGCAGTCTGATAAACCTAGCATCTAGCAGATAATAGAAGGGATACTAAATTCATATAAAAAATGAAAATATTTTTTTATCTGCTGGTGTGAGAGCCAGGGTGGTGTAGTGGTGAAGGCACCAGACCAGAAACTGGGAGTTCTAGTCCTGCCTTAGACACAAAGCCAGCTGGGTGACCTTGGGCCAGTCCCTCTCCCTCCGCCCTGGGAAGCAGGCAAGGGCAAACCACTTCCGAAATCTTGCCAAG